GAGAGAGAGAGAGAGAGAGAGAGAGAGAGAGAGAGAGAGAGAGAGAGAGAGAGAGAGTCAGTTGAAATGGGGAACTTGGATTTAAAATTTTTGTGTCATTTTGTACATTATAGAAATGTTATACAAAGAATGTGTGTTAGAAACACTGAAAAAGAAGATAAACAATATGCAGAAAAATGTGAAGTAGCACAGACACTTTATGGGCAGAGGAAATTTAACGAAGAAGAGAGAGTGTCATGAGTTTAAGCCAAAGTTTCTGAAATTCTGACACTTTAAAAGTACCTTCTCTGTTCTTTCACATTGTGTTTCAAACTACTGCAGGCCTTTGAGACCAGCCAAGCATGCTATTTGTGATAAATGGTACTGTAGAATGATAACAGTAGGGTAAAATAGTTCATAAACCTGCTCTGTATTTTATACATTTCATCCCCTTTCTAATGTTATCATATTATGTACCTCACAATTAATGTTATAGCTGGTAAAGGTAGAGCTAAGGTTAACTATCTTATATGCTTATACTTTGAAGTACTTTACATACTGCTGGGTAGCTTGTGAATTGCCCATCAATAGTCTTATGATTATAGTGTATTTTGTTAAATAAATCTCAGTCTGAAATGTAACAAGTGATTAAAGTTATCAAATAACTGTAGTGAGTACTGAGCACGGTATTTTTCTATAAAATGTAGTGGTCTAAGTATAAAGTAGCAGAAAATAAAAATACTCAAGTAAAGTGTAGCTACATCAAACTTGTACTTAAGTGCAGTAGTTGAGTAAATTAACTGGTGATTCGGGGCTGCCGAGTGTGATGGGCTGTTCTACCTGGGTGGAAAGGGGAGACGTAATCAGCAGCGTTCACAATCCAAATTTAGTATTTTTGTTGTGATTTAAGTTAATTCTTTTTCTGCAGTTGCCCACAGTTAACAATATTACCCACATTTATTAATTTATGTTAGTTAAGAGAACTAACAGCAGTACTCACCTTTTCCTTGTCTGACAGGGCATAAGTGAGACACACCCACACACCTGCTTGAATTTCAGGATTAAACCACTGTAACGAGGAAGGGGAGCAGAAGCAGAAACCAATTGATGCCAATCAGTGTAATTATATGAAGCACATGTGTTGTTGAGTGTATATATAGGGATCTATATTTTTGTAAATATTTATTGTGTTCTATTTATATATGGTGTTGGTTTGTGTAAATATTGGTCACAACCACTGCAAGTGGTCTGCTGTCCCTAATCACTGGCAGTAGGTATGTGTAAAAGGCAGTGAGTTTCCCTAAGGCTGGGTTTCTTTTTGTGTCTGTCTCATGTACCATCAATAAAGGCTCCTGCTGGTATTTGCATTTTACCTCAGTCTCCTGACTTTCTGCCATAATCTTAAAGCGGCCACTGGTCAAACTGCCAAGAGGCCCTTAAGAGACATGTACAGGGTAAACTAGAAGCAGTGACGCCCCGCTAAACTTGGTAAACTTCACATTAGTTAAGCAGATTCGTATTTGTCTCAAAGCCCCCGGTCCTGAAATTACCTGAGATTGGAAATGTTGACAGAAATATAGGCATTACAAAGCCACAATCTTAGTGTTATCTTGATTTTTTTTTTATTAGTACACAGAGTAGGTGAAAGTGAGAGCATATACTTTGATAACCTTCCATTTGGCTGCAGATTTATGTTGAATGACTTGTGGATTGTTCTTGATGTTTTCAGACTTTGTGTGACTACGGGTATTTTTTCTTCCTCTTTGTCTGTTTTGTTTTATGAGTCAGTAAATCGGTCACTCTACCTCTGTCTATAAGTTAACCTTTAACAGCTAATCAATTTGAACAGTCAAATGGCAAATCAGCTATTTTACTTCTTATGCACTAGGACACAGTCTCATGCTACTTCCAGCCTTTGTACTTTATCGGCACAACCTTAAATGACCTTTAGAGATTACCTTTTAAAGGTCATTCAGATATGCTCAATGGATGAGAAGGCAGTAACAGAAATGGCATATGGAGATGTTTGCTGATAGACAGGGAAAGCGGAGTGAATCAACTTTCTGCAGTGACTGTTGTCTGCTTCCATCATGTGGTCATTGGTGGTACTAAACAAGTGCAAGCATCATACTGTATATCCAAACAGTGGCTCTTTATGTGCATTGCAGCACCAACAATTTTATTACAGATTGAATGTAGGGCTGCAAATAATTATTGGTTTCACCACTGATCAACCTGCAGATTATTTTCTCAATAAATAATTGGGTCTTTTATTCAGAGGTGTTCCTAATATTCTAACCCGTTCACATATGTTGCTGGGGAGGGCAGAAATGTAGAGACACCTCTAAATATAACGTAGTCCAGTACAACACCACCTTAAACTATGACCTAAATAATAAGCATAATTGAATTTATACATTTATGACAATTTCATCAAAAACTGGAGTCTCGGTGCACGAATAACGGATTTAGGATGTACTCGAAGATGCCGGAACTGAACGACTTCTGGACTTCAATCAACCAACCATATGATTCCTCTGAAAGTTGTTCAGTGGCACATAATACAAAAATCCTCATGCTTCTGGATTCCAGACATAAAAACTACACAGATGTTCAGAAAGCTTCTGCATCTTTGACTCATAGAACATGCACACCTGTGTTGAGCTGGTTGACTTCCATTTGATGGAGCTCTCAGTTCTTTTCTGCATGAGCGTAGTCATTTCCAGCAGTGTAGTTTGTACACTTGTACAAATTGTTTATGGAATGTTTGCACTGGTAGGAAAGTTCTCATGGAATATATTAGATGATAGTATCTGTGGTTTTTTTAAATACTGTAGTACTGATAGCTAGGTTTCTCCTGTTTAATGTTTGTGATGATGGCATACTTTAGGTATTGTGATGCAGTGGTTAGATCAGGTAAGTAAAGTTTATTTCTAAAGCACATTTTAACACCACATATGCTGTACAAAGCAAAGTATGAAGTTAATGTAAAATTAGTGTAACAAAACACATACAAACCACAACTAGCAATGAAAACAATTACAAAAAGCTATAAGCATAATGACAATAACAGATTAATGTGCCAGAAAGCCCAGAGAAGAATAGTATGACTTTAGCCTGGGTTTCAAAAGGGAGATAAACTTATTTTAAACTTATTTTTCTTTAATAAGTGCTGAATATCAAATGCAGAAGCGTGTGAATAATTTACAGCTACTATCCAGATGCATTAAGAATTTATTAGAAGTCTGCTAAAGCAACCTTCATGGCAATGAATTGGGTGTCCTCTTGTTATCCAGTATCAAGTTCTTCTTAATACAGTCGTGATTTAAACACGGAGGTGAACACATTAGGCTGGTACTTGTTGGAGTTAGTGTGAGATGTTACTTGAATTATACCTGCTGATTTTATGAAAAATCACAGATTTTTGATTCAGTTGTGTTTTTAACCTGTTTCAGGTGAAGAAGATGAGGACAATGATGAAGACGACGAGGAGCCAGAGGATCCTCAGAACTCTGAACTGCAACCTCCCATAAAAAGATCCAAAACCTTGAACACATGAAACACCTGAGGACTCTTGAAACAGGATGCCGTCACCTTTTACCTGTCTGAATAAAAACTAATGATGTCAGGTGACAGTAATCCGTCGATGTTATAGGCGTGTCTGACACTCAGGCAAAGACAGAAAATGTCATTTCTAAAATGTCTGACTGTTCTTATACTCATGGATCAATCACTGTCATTGATGTAGAATCAGTGGCATGTTCTGATCATGGAGTGAACCACTGAGGTCAGTATGTTGCTATCAGTTTAGTTATGGGACATCTGACTCACTGTCTTTGTATTTTAAAATGTCCCATCCCTGAGCCCATGTTTGTCAAATCGTCCTCCTGCTTGGACGCTGCCTCCTGTTATTTCTTCAGTTCTTAAGTTTATTTTTTATAACACAAAAACATAAAATAAGCATTCAAAAATAAAAACACATTCAAGTTTTTCATAAATTATTTTTTTTTTTATGAATGTCATGGAAACCACTGCGTAATGTGACTCATTACAGAAAAGTACCATAGAGAATCCTGCTCTCTGATTAGCTGGAAGCTGTCAGGTAACCGCTAAATGTTAACATCCAGGTTACCATGGCAACAGTAGTAATGCCTCTGTTAACTGGTTAAAATAACCACAGACAGGAGGCGCTGGTGTCAACACAGAACATCATCCAACCAATCACAGCACAGGGCTTTTCATGTCACGATAATAAAATAACAGAGCAGACTCTCAGGTTTGTATCAAGGAGCACAGTCATATGAAAACTTGTCCCTGACAGTCCACGCCGGGGTCATAGCTGTGAACCTGTCGGGCAGTACTCAGCACACACCTAACCAAGCTCCTGACAGACAGAGGAAGGTTTAAATCTGGAAGGAGTGTTTGTTAACATGTTTAAGGCACAAAGAAAGTGACATCACAGACAAAACCAACAGTTTGGTCCTGCTACAGTCTATGATTGGTCCTCTCTATGTCTCGATCACCGACCCAGCCTTTTGATTGGTTGGTTTCTGGGCTGCGTGACGGCGGTTGCACAGCAGGGCAATGCAGACAGGAAGTACACAGTAACCAATGGCTCGAGGGTTTGCTCTTGTACAGGAAAACAGGAAGAGAAAGAGCTGCAGGTATGGCAGCAGGAAGACCGACGCCCACATCCAGACAGGAAGTGATGGCAGGTGAGACCAGTTGACAGCAGGGGATGAAGACGATGGGCTGATCCCATCTCTCTGCACACGCTCCAAACTGAAAGTATGAACCTCAAAGACGTAGTACACTGCCATGATGCTGAGCAACAGGTAGAGAGCCACGCCCACCCATCCCATCCTCTGACGGAAGTTCATCATCCTCCATACTGTGATGTAGATCAGTCTGTCATCAGTAACTGATCAATATGTCATCTATACTATAAAATGTTAGTAGTCTATAAGTCATGCAGTTTTCTGATGGAAGTTCAGCCTCAATACTGTTAAAAAAAACAAAACTTCATTAGTACATGAACAACACAGTAGTGAATGAAACTGGGCAGTAATCAATAAGACATCTTGTCAGAAAAAGTGAGCTATTATACCTAAAGGTAACATCAGACCGTAAAGTAGATATGTTTATCTAATCACTATATGGCCGCTAATCAATACATCATGTATACACTAAGAGGAAATTATCTATTATATGATTAATACGTTACCAGTACTGAAAGGAAACACCAAATTAAAAAAGAAACTACTGAAATCAATAACTACAACCTCCATCGGTCTCTGACAGTCTCCAGCTAAATTCCAAGTAATAATTTAGGCGCCAATTCAATTAAATATACTCTATATTTAAAACACTATGTGATACTAAGCCAGCGATTTGTTTCTACCAAACTATATTCATTTCTGGTAAGTTTGAACCCTGCTGGTACGCAGCTTTAGATCGATAACCCCTGCCTTAATGGGGACGGTATAAAATCTGACCTGAACTCGTTTCACTGTTGTAGAACTGCACTGAATCTCTATCAGACTTAATATTTCGTGCAGTTTGAACTCTGAATTGACGAACACCGAGGTATTTCCTGCCGACCTCCATCTTGTTCGTAGCGTATTTAACCACAGGTCATCGGCACCGTTTTAGCAGTTTGTTAGTTCGTGTGCTGTAATCAGCTCTTACCTTCCTTCGCGCTGATTCTTTCAAATTAAAATTGTGCTGTTCAGTGGTTCTTAATCCTCTGTGGGTCTCGGTCCCGGGAGGTCTCTTTTCTCTCTTCCTGTTTTGTCACATGACACTACGTTATTACGTCATTAATAGACTCAGCGCCGTCTCCCGTTCAAACCGCGCCCCTATATTTTTAAATGTATTTTCGTTTTATGACATCAAACAAAAGTCTATGATAAATGCATTACCATCAGTCACTGATGTATTAAATGAAGAGTATAACTAATCGTGTAGATGAAGCCAATTTGATATACTGGCTGCATCTATTCTGCAGCTAATCATTTATAAAACATGAGTCACAGTTTTAGTAAAAATGTAGCCTAACAGAAAATTTTTTTATGTCCTTGTTTTAATAAATTAAGACTTACAAATGCCCTAAAATGGGACAATGAATAATCATAAATTGTAATAATAAGATCATTTGTGCTGAAACTGTAGGTTACATTTCTTGTCTTATTTGTGACAGAGACACCAGGTGAACAATGTGGGTGACTGGTCGGTTTTTGGTGGTTCTCACCTATAGATTCTCAAGTCAGTAACAATTTAATATGATTTATTCTCTGTTATCCAGAAAGCAAAACAATAACACCAACATGTTCTGTACATCTGTTAACATGGAGACTTGTTTCTTAGGTGAAGGTGACTTTCAGATTAAAAATAAAAGGAGGTTATCATTAGGGAACACAAAACACACACATTTCAAACTAGCTGATTTCACACACTGCGATAACAACATCAATAATAATATTCATAATAACATTAACCCCAGTTTGTTACTTTAAATAACAAAGAAAATCTCCCAACTGATGTTGAAATATTGACATTTTAAATGTAACCTAGACTGCTGGGTCCACCCACTCTTTCTGTCTGTCCAATCACATCAAAGAAAATCCATGTATAAATTAAGTCAGTTCTGCTGCACAAACACAAACCAACAGAGAAAACTAAAAGATGTTGTTTCATTGACGAGTCCTACTGGTTTAAGCCTGAACACTTTGTTTGTTTCTGCTGGACCAGTTAGTTTTGTTCCCATTGTTCACTGATCGCTGATATGGAGCGTCGTCAGAGTCTAGAGGAGCAGCTCAGGTGTCCTGTCTGTCTGGACGTCTTCACTGAACCACTGATGTTACAGTGTGGACACTCTTATTGCAGGTAAGATGGATGGGACTCACCTGTCCTGATCATACTTGTCCTTTCCTGACCACACCTGTCCTGACATCACTTGTCATGACTTCACCTCTCCAGGTGTTGTGTGCGCTCCATGACAATGGACCTGCTCGGCCAGCTGCAATGTCCTGTGTGTCGTTGTGCAGTGGACGGAGATAGTCCACCTCCCAATGTTTGTTTGGCTCGAGTCATTGAGGCTCTGCAGGTAATAATACCTGTGATCAGCTGACCTGTCAAGGATGATCTCAGAGCATCGGTTTTAAAAATATAAAAGTAAAATATACATAACATTTTACAGTATATCCTTTCACAAGAAACACCTGACTCAAGAGATTTTACTGAAAATATGTAGAACTGTTATTTGTAATGTAATAATCATTGCATTGTTTTTATGAACACACCCATTTGTCCTAACAGGAAGTAAGTGTTGCAGGTGGAGCTCAGCTGGAGATGTGTCGTCAGCACCACAACCCACTCAGCCTTTACTGTGAGGATGAACGAACAGTGATATGTGGCCTGTGTGGAAGCATTGGTACCCACCGTGGACATAAAATCACACCTGTGAGCTCCATCTACAGTCACATGAAGGTAAGAAATACACAAAAACACACCTAACCCATGTGTTAATAAAGTTCAGTGTCTGAGGTGGTAAAGTGTACATTCAATTCAGTTTATTTGTATAGCACCAATTCAAAACAAAAACCATCTCAGGGCACTTTACATAGTAAGATCTACACCTTACACTATTATAGAGAAAAACCCAACAAACCTCCCTTGAGCAGCACTTGGTGACAATGAGGAGAAAAAAACTCACTTTAATGGAAGAAATCTCTGACAGACCTCGGCTCTTGGAGAGGAGAGGGGAGGAGCTCAGCATCATGGGGCCCCCCAGGAGTCTAGGCCTATAGCAGCATAACTAAGGAAGGCTCAGGGTCACCTGATCCAGCCCTAACTATAATCTTTATCAAAAAGGAAAGTCTTAAGTCTAATCTTAAAGGTAGAGAGGGTGTCCGCCTCCCGAACTGAGACTGGGAGTTGGTTCCACAGGAGAGGAGCTTGATAGCTAAAGGCTCTGCCTCCCATTCTGCTTCTGTGGACTCTAGGAACCACAAGTAAACCTGCACTCTGAGAGCAAAGTGCTCTGTTAGGATGATAAGGCTCTACGAG